GTCAACCTTTACCAGTGGGTTATGTGGTAAATACTTGGACCCTGGAAAGGAAATGGAAAAGTGAACAATTCCAAGTCAAAAAGAAAATTGTTTTCTTTTGAGCTTATAGTTTATTTATTGTAGTAAACTATTCTGGTAAATGGGAGTAGTGACTTCAGATATAGTTGTGCTTGATATTTATAAGTGAACTGTGCTCTTGGCGCCTTCAGTGATGTAAATATGTTAATTTTGCATGAAAGAGAAAAAATGCCTCTCAATAAATCTTTGACATTTTTGTGAACATTAATTAAATATATTGTTTCCTTAGTGCTTTAGAAGTGATTTTATAAATTAAAAGACCAAATGAATATAGAAGTTCAGAACTAAAATGAAATATTTTTGATATTTCAAACTTGTGATACAAAGTAACTTAAAATTTATGTTTTCTGATTTTGCCTCTCAGTTTATTATGAGTGCGAAACAAACATTTTGTAGAACACAGTAATAATGGAGAGTCATTTCATGTAACAGCACATTACTTATGGTGTAATAAAAGGTTACATGACTAAGTCAGACCATTCCATTTTAAAATGAGAAAAGAAATCTTGCCATTTGCGACAACATGAATGGATCTAGAGGGTATTATGCTAAGTGAAATAAATCAGGCAGAGAAAGACAAATACCATATGGTTTTACTTATATGTGAAATCTAAAAACGAAGCAGAAACAGACTCATAGACCAAAAGAATGGTTATCAGAAGGAAGAAGGTGGAAGGATGGGTGAAGAGGGGAAGGAGAATATAGTCAAGAATATTGGGATAAGTTTGCATGGTGATAAATGAGTACTAGAATTAGTGGGGTGAATCACTATATTGTACACATTAAACTAATATAGTTAATCTAAGATTGGATACCAACAGCACCTAAATAAAAATAATTAAATAAATAAATATATAAAATAAAACTAAAAATAATTTCTACTCTGCCCCAATAATTACAGATTGACTTAGAGAGTCTCAGAAGTTTTGATAATTTTGGTGTTCATATAATTATAACTACTAAGAAATATTTTTTGTTTTGAAAAATCTGTACTTTCCTTTAATTATTCCATTCACTTTTTTAAAGCCATGGCTTCTCTATTACTTAATTGCCTAACTTTCATTTATTACACTAATTCTTTTACTCATGATAAATGAAATGTAAAGATATTAAAACTTTAAGGTAATTTAATTTCAGCTAAATATAAAAGCTTAATCATTTACATGAAGCTCCCAACCATCTTCATTAATTATAACTTTTTTCATAGAACAATTAATGGCGGTTATTTTCTTATTGACCTAGGTATTCAGTGTTTCTGATGCCTTATATCTTTGCGTGTATTGTCATTCGTTCTAGCATCTAAATCCTAAAAATTAAGTAGTGATATTCAAATTACCTTGAGTGAACAAATGTTTGTTTTTGATTTTTTTCTGATTTACTGACAGAATTTTTCTCTCTTTTTCTTTTCAAAAATAACTTAGTTCTACTTTCTCTTATAGAAAACTAGGTAGGTGCTTTCAGCTAATCTGATCAGAAGGTGTTGCCCTAATATTTGAGAAATATCTCTAGAACAGCGATTTTCATCCTTTTAAATCAGATTGGCAAAGTTACATGTTTTTTGGTGTGTCACAGAATTTTAGTCATTAGTTTAAATGTGCCATGAGATGAAAAAGGTTGAAAATCACTCTTCTAGAAGAAGAAATCAAAGCTTCATAAAACCCATATTGGGGGATGGGGACACCTCTTTCTTGCCCAGAGTTGAACCCTATCATTTAGCATGTTTCTTAGAACATAGCAGTAGCTCACTAAATATTTATTGAATAGGCAAATGTTATATCACAGAAGCAAATCAAGAATGTTCTTAGTGCCATGGCCAGTTTTCTCAGTGGTTAGAGTGTCAGCCCGCGGATCAGAGAGACCCGGGTTTGGTTCCCGCTAAGGGCATGTACCTCGGTTGCAGTTTGTCCCCGGCCCTGGTTGGGGTCATGTGGGTGGCAGCCAGTCGATATGTCTCTCTCACATCGATGTTTCTCTTTCTCTCTCCTTCCTGCTCTATCTGAAGATAAATGCAAAAAAAAAAAAAATGTCCTCGGGTGAGGATTTAAAAAAAAAGAATGTTATTAGTGTATTTCTTCACTAGCAGTGGTTAGGCAACAATATAAATTTAAAATGTAGTAGAGTTCTCTGCTCCACCTGTGATGGAATTGTTTGTCATAGACCCAAAGCTCATACCAGGAATAAGTAGGGAAAATTATATTTTAGAAAAGAGAGAGAAAGGAAATCTGTTTGATGGAATTGGAGAGACAATGAGGAAACCAGGGCTCCTCCTCCTTGACATATGCTGAACATTAATATTTATCTCTTGAGCATCACAAGATTGTTTCATATTCAGCTCTGCTTAAAATGGCCATCTATTTTTTTATTATTTTAAATCCTCACCTGAGGATATATTTTTTTAATTGGATTTCAGAGAGAGAGGAAGGGAGAGGAAGAAAGAGAGAGAGAGAGAGAGAGAGAGAGAGAAAGGAAGAGAGAGAGAAACAGCCATCGGTTGCCTCCTGCACACACCCCTATGGGGGACAGACCCACAACCTGGGTATGTGCCCTGACCTGACGGGGAATCAAACCTGCGACCTTTTGATGTATGGGATTACACTCCAACAAACTAAGCCACCTGGCCAGGACAGAATGGTCATCTATTTTATACCTCAGACTTTAACCCTGAGCAGATTAATAACTCAGCAAATATTTTACAGGACAATTGGAGGACCTGGGATCATTTTTTAACATGTCTTTCTCTTTCAGATCATGGCCCCATATTTCTTGGCTGACATGTGTGCCCCCATTGTATTTTTGTCTTCTCTCTTTCATTAATGTGTACTGTTGTGTTTAGTATTTCCCTCTTTCTACATTGGGGAGGAAGTTAATTTGTTGTCTAGCTCTTAGTTCTTGAATAATCACTGATTATTGACCTTTCATTTATAATCAACTCATGCATCACTTCCAGATTGAGCAGTTTTTATTTATTTGCTACACCTTTATTTTCACTGACAAATGCCTTCCTCAGATTATCCATTTTTGTAAAGTGTCACATGGGTTTATCACTGGGTGACAAGGGAACAGTGCAACCGCCCACTCTGAGGTCTGTGCTTAAACTGATTAGTAGATGCATAGTGACAATCATTGCCAGACTTTGAAAGAAGCAATATGTGTGTCACTGATCATGATGCACATCTCTTACTTGTGTAGTGATTTGCGGACTGAAGATCTAGTAGAGAGGTTTGCACTTCATACAAGTACAGCTGATATACCATACTAACTAAAATTTGAAATATATTTTTGGTCATGTCTGGTGTTATTTAACTACACCAAGTAACTGAAATTTGTGCATATCAGAATCATGTAAAATTAGAATTTAATACATATACATTCTCATATGAACTGAATGCATATTCATATATATATTCAATGTATTAGTTATCAGGAGAATATACATTAAAACTACAATGTGATATCACAGTACACTTATAGGAATAGCTATGGTAGGCAGAATTCTATGACACATGACTTTAGCTCTTATGTAATTACTTCCACTGGGAAGATTATAGGTCTCCACTACTGCAATTATGTTAGGTTACATGGTAAAAGAGATTTTGCAGATGTAATTAAGATTATTAATCAGTTGACTTCGAAGAAATCACAAAGGAGATAATCTAACTTAGTCACATGAGTCCTTTAAAAACAGAGGAATATTTCCCCCATCGTCTAATTTCAAAAGAAGAAATTAGATTTGAAGCATGAGAGGTCTTCAGTATGAGGGATGTTCTTCATTGCTGGTATCGGCAGGCTATGGGTCACTGGCTGGCAGAAAGCTCAGAGTGGACTTGGCCACTAGCTAGTCTGGCAAAGGAGACCTGTGTCCCACTACTGCAAGAAACTAAATTTTGCGAGCAACCTGAATGAGCTCAGAAGTAGATGCTTGACCCATAGACATTAGATAAGAGCAAAGCCTGTCTGCCAGCTTGACATTGGCCTTTAGGGACCTTAATCAGAGAACACAGTTGAACCCTTCTAGACCTCTAACATAAAGATCTATGATAATAAATGGATATTGTTTTAAGCTGCTAAATTTGTGTTAATTTTTATAGAGCAATAATAATTAATACAATAGTAACAATTTTTAAAGAAAAAATATGACAAAACCAAGTGTTGGAACAGGTTTGTAGTTGTTCACATGGAAAGTAATACAATAATTAATAAATAATAATAAAGCATAAACTCTGTGTTTTGCATACTCACAACTATAAGCCTACTTTGCCCAACCCTGTATGTATGTGTGTATGTGTGTGTGTCTGTGTGTTATGTATAATATATATATCATATATGTATGTATCATTCACTGGAAAGGTGCACAGCTATTAGAATGAACACATTAAAATAAGACACACATAAAAGAATACGCCCACAAAAGAGTATGATGTCATTTATATAAAGATTAGAAATAGACAAACTAATTTATGGTTATACAAGTAATTATAATGGCTAAGTTTGGAGGTTACAATAGTGATTAGAAAGGAGTACTACAGGATTTTTAGGGTGCTTGTAATACCCTATTTATTGATTTTAATGCTGATTAAACAGGTGTACTTATGTTGCAAGGATTAATTTAACTGTGTGTATGATTTGTGTTCTTATTCTTCAATGAAAAGCTCTTTTTTTTTTTTTTTAAATGAAGGACTGTAAAATGTTGGCAACTCCTTTCTCACTGTGTGGTTTGAAAAAAGAAAAATTGCCTGAAGTCATACAACCAGTGAGTGAAGACTTAGTTTAGAAAATGATAATGAAGAATAATTTAATGATAATTAATGTTTTAGTTTAGTTCTCTCTTTAATTTGGCTGAAAATGAAAGAGAGAAAGAGGGAGAGTGAGAACGGTTCATTAATAATTTTGACATTCACAGTGAATTCTTTTAATGAAAACAGTGTGCCGGGAGGAGTCCCTCCACTCCATAGTGCCGTGCGCCGCCGTGGTTCTCGCTCCGGTGGAGCCAACGCTGGAAATGAAGAAAAGAGAAGAGCTGAAGCTTCCTGAACCTTCCAAACAGTAAGTGGCTCATTTGGTTCTCGAGAGCTTTGTAAAACTCAGAGATAACTGATCAGAATTACATTGCTCAGTTGTGTTGCAATGAATGTGTTAATACTCGCCTATGGAGAGCACAGAAGGAAATTTTGTACATTGAAAATGAATCTACTGTCTCATGAATAACTTTGTGTCTTTCAACTTTGTGTGTTTGAGCTCTATCCCATCCAAGGGTCATGTTGTTACCTCATCGTAGGGACATGGGTACGTGGTGTGAAGCATGTTGTATTCTCTATGTGTGTGGACGCACTGTTCTTGGGTTGCTTATTTTTCAGTTGGGGGGTTTAATGCTCTAAGATGTGACAAGATTTTAATGTAACTTTCCTAACCTAAAGTTGGTGTGTATTTTTATAAATGGAAGTTATTATTTTTAACTACTTTGAACCGAAATGAAAACAATGTTTTCCTATTCTTGCTATTTAAACAGATCAAGCCTAATTTATATTTAAGTATTATCTTATGTTGAATAAATAATAGTTTTTTTCTTTTTTTCTTATAATGGCCAGAGGGAGCTGAATTCATGGTAACAAATGTGAGATAGATGGACTTGAAAGATCAAATAAACTAGGATTGTTTCTGGGTATGCATTAAATAAATTAAAAAGAAAAACCTACCAATGAGTTTCCAGTGAAAGTGGTGCTGTACCTGTTTGAAGGGTGGAGACTAGCGGGCGGACGGTGTTTCCGAGCATTGCTGGCGAACCACTTCATCAGTGAGGCAGGAGTTACCTTAAAAACACCTACTGTTTTTTCCCCTACTGATAACACTGTGTCACATGTGTTTGTTTCTTGATGTCTTTCTACTGAGTAAGCTCCTGAAGACAGAGTTCTCTGGAATGAAAATGCCTACTACTCTTTGGGAAATCAATCAGAAAGTCCCTTAAAGTTACATTTAATAATGTTGAGTTCAAATGGAGCAATGTATATATTTGATTGTATGAACATAGTATTATAGAGAAAAAAAATATTAACCAATTGGGAAAGTAATGATTGTAATTCCATTTTAATACAATCTGAAAGTGAAACAATTTAACTGCTCTTAATATAGTCTAATTTTTAGGTTCCAAAAGCCATTTGTTTTTGTCTAACAGGAGGAAGATTACATCTTATATATGCTAATTGAATTATATTTCAAAACACAAATGTATTTTCTTGCAGTATATATGAGTTTACATACATTACCTATATATTTGTAAATTGGATCTTGAACCCTGTTTTTTTCACCCAAGGATATGGTTCTTTTTATGGATTCCAAAAACGAGAAAGGAAGGAGAGAGAGAGAAAAACATATGGGTGTGAAAGAGAAACATCAATTGCTTGAACAGTTGCCTCCCATCGCTGCCCTGACCAGGGATGAAACCCGCAACCTGGGTGTGTGCCCCGACCAGGAATTGAACCCGAGACCCTTCTGTGCATGGGGACAATGCTCTGACCACTGAGCAAACCACCCAGGGTGGATCTTAAATTGTTTACATTACCTTTCAGTTACTGTATTCAAAACTAGTAAATAGTGTTATTTGCTGACATAAAATATCCCCCCCCCCCAGAGTTTAGCTACTTTAGCAATAATCTTTATTCTGAGATACGTATTAAAACAGACAGCATTTGTCAAGTGGCTGTCCCTTTCTTCCTGCTACTCTGCATCTGTTTTATGCTCCTCTGTATTTTCTGAATCTACTTTCTTAGTTAAATATTTTCTCTCAACTAATATTTATTCATTCATTCATTTATGTACATTTATTATTGTTTTTTTTTTTTTTTCTGAGTCAGAGAGGTGAAAATCTTAACTCTGTTACTATTTGATGAAAATTGGAGACATTTTATTTGAACTCTTTGTACTTCTGTTTTCCGATCTGCTAATTGGTGTGATGACACCATCTTTATAGGGTCATTGTAAGTATTACGTAAAGTTATACTGATAAAGGACCTAAAATCTAAAAATCCATAAATGTATTAGTTATGGTGCCCCTTCCACAGCGTCAACTATTGACATTACTGATGATTTACGGATATATATTTTCTCCTGAACGCTCTTCTGAATGCAAGTCTGATATTTAAAGTTATTGACCTGACTTGTCTACTGAAGTGTCCTGCCAGAATCTTATACTGATTATCTCTAAAACTGAAATAGTGACCCCTCCAGCCCCCTTAAATGATTTATTCTTTGACTTTTCTATTTATATAAAACTACCATTATTTTTCTTTGCTTAAAATCTAGATATATTTTCTCCTCTACCTCTCACATTCAATTAGTACTTGATTACTTGATTTATGTCTCTATTATATTTTTCTTACAATTTGAGCTGACCTGGAAGGTGTATACATCTAATACTTGAATTTTTTCTAACATGGATATTCTATGGTGATCTTAATGAAGCCATTCAGATAGTTGTCATGATCAAATGGAGATTACATATGCTCTCAGTGTCTCACATTGCTATTTTGAGAATGAAATGATAGGTGTAACTCTATGGCAAGAACACAATATAATTGTAAAGACATAGTGATTAGTTCATAGTGTTTGCCAATGAGAGAAGCCCTAATGCCAATTGGTTTCAAAAAATTAAGGGTGGCGGTTGTTACTGGCCATGTAATTAAAAATTATAGAAGTCGAAACTTCCTCAAGTATTTTTGTGTCTGGTATTCAGATGACGTCTTAAAGGATCATTTTCTCCATCTGCATCTCTATTCTGCTTTCCTACCTGTAGTTTCCATTTTCAGGGAGGTTCCTCTAATGTAGTGGTTCTCAACCTTCCTAATGCTATGACCCTTTAATACAGTTGCTCATGTTGTGGCCCCAATTATAAAATTATTTTTGTTGCTACTTCATAACCGTAATTTTGCTATTGTTATGAATCGTAATGTAAATATCTGATATGCAGGATGTATTGTTATTGTTACAAATTGAACAGAATTAAAACGAAATGATTAATCACAAAAACAATATGTAATTATATATTGTGAAATAGTTATTTCTAATTACCAATAAATGAAATTTTGTCTTGAAGCATGGTGTAGCACGGGTAACAGTCTTAATATAACAACAGTAAACTACATTGCTACATTTTGCGACAGTATGCGTAAAAAGCCAACATCAGCGTGAAGATTGAGATTGCCTCTTTCTCACCAGATCATAAATTCTCGGGCAGTCTTTGCAAGAGCACAAAAAAGATCATCTTCCACAACAAGTCTACTTCTGTATTTAGACTTGATAACCAACAAGCTGGAAAACCCTGTTTCACAAAGATATGTTGTTGAAAATGGAAGAAGAATGCGCAACACAGTCTCAGACAGAACAGGATATGATGCAAACACTTGATCTAGAATGTTGTAACTGGCATTGTAGAGATATCAGTTCTAACTATATCGCTGTTAATAAGTTCAATGAACTCCTCTTGTGCTGTCTCAGGAACATCTTCAACTTTGACTGTGAATGGGCTTCTGGCAAGTGCAAATGGGATGTCAGGTAGATTTGGAAAGTATGATGAAATTTCTTCTGCAAGCATATGCAAGTGTTCTGTCACAGAAATTATCATTGTAACCCTTTTGTCTGGTTCAATGTCATGTTCCTCAAAGAAAGCACATAAAGTAGGCAACATGTAAATTTTATTTTCATCCAATTTTTTTTTTTTTTTTTTGCCAAAGCTGAAGTTTCATTTGGAATGATTGGATCTTTTCAGACAAATCGAGGCATGTTGCATTTGGTCCTTGCAGTGATAAATTTAACTCAGTCAAGACGGCAAAGATGTCAACCAAGTAAGCTATTTTCTACAGTTCACTTTTATCGCTGAAAAGTGCTTCGAACTGCGGTCTTGCTTTCTTATTAAAAAACGTTTTGAGTTCATCACGAAGCTCAAAAACACGTTTTAAAACTTTTCCTGTTGACAACCTTCTCACTTCAGTGTGAAATAGCAGAGCATTGTTCGGCGCATCCAACTCGTTGCACAGTTGCAAAAACAGTCGACCGTTTCAAGTGCTCACCTTTACAAAATTCACAGAACTTATGATTCTTGTCATTACTTCTTGTAACTCTTGTGGCAGCGTCTTTGTTGTTAATATTTGCCAATGAATCATACAGTGAGTTCCGACGACTTTTGGTGACTCATTCAGTACCAAACGTTGAAATCCAGATCGACATCCTAGCATAGCTGGAGCACCATCTGTGCAAACACCACAAACCTTTTCCCAAGAGATCTTATGCTCTTTCAGAAATGAACCAATTGCATCAAATACATCACATGCAGTAGTTGTCGTTTCAAGAGATTTGCAAAAAAGAAACTCATCTTTAAAGTCTCCATCATTAATATACCTCACGAAAACTAGTAACTGTGAACAGTTTGCAATGTCTGTAGATTCATCAAGCTGGATGCTAAATATTGGAAGTGGAGCAGATTTAATTTCCTGGATTACCTGATCAAGAATATCAGCAGACATGTCATCTATTCTTTTGCGGACAGTGTCATTAGATAAGGAAATTGCACTCAATTCTGTAACAAATTTGTCTTCGATCATAACTCAAACAATGTCTTTGGCCGCTGGCAACAGTAAATCCTCAGCCATTATGTGAGGTTTCATAGCTCTGGCGATTCCGAGTGCTACCAAAGATGAAGCTTTAACTGCTGCTACGTTTTGTTTGTGGTACTTGCCACCAGTGTCAAGTCTGGTTTTCTTGAGTCCATCAGCTTTGCTTCTAAAATAGTTGGTATCCTTGCCAGCAAAGCTCCGATGCTTGCTATCAAAATGGCATTTTAGTTTTTTCGGCTTCATAGATTCGGATGATACAACTTCACAACAAATAACACATTATGGTTTCTCAATTCTTGCTGTAATTATTGAGGTTAAACCATACTATAAAAAAAATCCTCACTTTATTTTCTTTTCTTAATGTTCTTTTCTACATGATCCATTGTCATGGGATGGTTTGCTAATGAAAATAATATATAACAATAGCTTTAATAATACAAA